TCTTATTTCCTGCTAGTGTACCCAGATGCAAACACACACACACACACACACACACACACACACACACACACACCCCAGGGCTCCTGTTCGCTTTAATAGTGTTTTGGAAGGAGAAATCCAGCAGCTTTTTCTTACTCCTCCAAGACAAGCACCTTCCAGGTGCCAAGTCCTTTTCCTCATCTGATCTCCCAATTTCTCCTGTCCTGTTAACGGGGATACTGATGTAAATATGCAATATAGGGTTTTGTAAAGAATAAGATTCTCTTCTGTTCAGCTGCTTGGTCTTGCAAGCGCTGCTGAATATTTGCATGCATCTGCTTATGGGCTGGCTACTTTAGGAAATCTGAAGTGTGTATATAGTGTGCAGTAATTTTAGCAGGAAAAAAACTCATAAGGATCAAGGAGTAATATAAGAATTAGGGGGAGGAAAGATTTGTGTCATAGTCAAAGAGATTTTTTTAGAAAGTCTATCGCTGCACTTAACCTTAACCCTAACTCTGTCCCATTCCTGCTTGAAATTTATTATTAATCTGGAGGACTTAAAACTGAATTCAGCACAAAGGTGGAAAGTATTTTTTTAACCCCACAGTAGATAAGAAGAGCATACAAAGAGGCTGCTGGATCAGGCCAATGGTCTATCTAATTCCAGCAAACTGTTCTCACAGTGGTCAGTGGTCAGAGCAGTCCCAGAAAAGAGCACAGAAAATAAAGTGATGGCAGAAATTTGGAATGCCTGACAATGAAGCTTTAAAAATGACTGTAAACATCGTGAAACTCATAATAGCATTCCAGGAAACCAGGGGATGTAAATAATATGATGCTGGATTTCTATAATCATCAGCAAAGTAAACCATCATTTGTGGATGTCCCTAAAGCACCAAACAAATTTATGATTCTGTCATGCAAGATTATTAGTTCTAGGTTCCCCCACCCACGGCCAATGCAGAATTCCATTCTGCATTCCTACAGTTAAAGATCCAAAGCAAAGCCATCTATTAATATTATCTGACAGACAGTGGGTCAAAAATCCATCACTAGGGCTGGAAGTGTTAACTGCTAAAGATGTTTTAGCTGTGGGGCAGAGTTACATCCTAATTTGCTTCTGCTTTTGTCCTGGAGTAGCTAAGGAGTGTCAGAGTGCAGCCAGGATATAAAATTGGGGTGGATGGTATGTTTGTTACTACCTGCATATCGTAGACCCCATTTTTATGCATAAGCAGTGCTTTTTCTGTGGGGACACAGGGGTACCCATACCCCTAAACATTTTGTGAATCTTTGTACTTTTGTCCATTTACTGTATTTATTTCCCCCGATTTGAACTATAAAATGGTGATTTTCTTGAGTCAAAATGAGAGTATCTCTAAACATTTTTAAAGAAAAAAACCACTGTGAATAAGGAAGTTGGAAAATCACCCAAGAGATATATACCACAGGCTAGCTAGAGCAGGTAAGAGTCATTAGGTTAATGAGCCTCCTTGTGAATACACATGCATATTTATGGTGCTGAAGAAGAAGAAGATAGTAATCAAATATATCTTTCCAAAAAAAGCTTTGCTGTGAAACCAGGGTATTGTTTGCACATGCATTGTACTGGACAGGACAGGATAGGATAGGATAACTTGCAGCCCACAGTCCCATCAACCCTCACCAGCATAGCCAATGGCTATTGGGAAATGAAGTCCAGTCACAACTGGAGGGCCACAGGTTCCTCATGCTTGGTGTACAATATTGTGGGTTTTCTCCTTCAAATGCAAAGATCTTGACATTTGATGGGAGGGCGTTCCACAGGCAGGGTGCCATTGCTAAGTAGGCCTTCTGCCTGGTTCCCTTCTTGCAGTGAGGAAATCACCAGAAGGCCCTCGGAGCTGGACCTCAGTGTCTGGGCTGAGCGATGGGAGTGGAAATGCTCCTTCAGGCATACAGGGCCAAGGCCGTCTGAGGAGAGGACCAAGAATGTTACTCTGAGCTTCATGGAGGAAGGGTGGGATAGAATGTCACAGATCAACAAACATGCGAACAGCAGTCTCTTCCACCCCATCTGCATTTCAGATTTCAAGTAAACTACCATTTTTTAAAAGTAGCTAGTATCTGTCTTGTTTCTTTAAGTGAATCATTTTTTCTTTCTTTTTGACTTGAAGTGAAATCCAGAGAACGTGGATTGGTTTACAATCTGTATTCCAGTTTCAAGTTACTTAAATGACACAGATGCAAGAGAGTTATTTAAATAAGTACTGATTTCAAGTGGTAGTTTTGAAACCCTGTGTGGAATTATCCAGGCAAAGGAAACCAGCCTTTCATGGAGCGATCACCTTACTCTAACACAATGCTCCTTTCATAAATTCAAACAAAAGCTAGTGCACTTTAATCAGTGGGTGGGTTAGGCTAGAGAGGGAGGTGTAATAGTCCCCAAATCCAAACATTCTGTCCTGTGCCATTCATTGCTTTCAGTATGAGCTAATAAGTGTGACCAGGAGAAGTAATTAAGAGGGACAGGAAACTGAGAAAGAGAGGCGGAGACTGAAGTATTCTGTATTTGCCTATTAAACTAATGAGAATGTAGTGTTAGACTCCCAGGGAATCCATAATTGCCATTCCAACCCTGCAACGACAGCTTAAAAATTCAGTTGTCGCTATATCCATCACAACCTACCATCCTTGCCTACAAACCTCTTGTGAACATGGGGAGTTGGAACTCAATTTTGCCTGTGGGGCTAGCTTTCTTCATATATATGGGTTAGTACAAACTAGTGCCGGGGAGCTTTCTGGTTCTACACTGCAGTGCTCCTGTTCCTTCAGCAAAGGAATCCCAAAAGCTTATCAAGTGAGAAACCAGTTGAGGAGTTTATAAGGCACAGCCATAAAAGTTAATTGAATCAAAATCCTATTTCTGGAGCACAGACTCTAATGAGGTAATAGATACTGCAGGGCAGGCTCTCAATCCTTCCATTAAGACTCCTTGTGTTAAAGGAATCTATAGGGGGGAAAGAAGGGTTGTTTTCTATACAAGAGGCAGAGAAAGAAAATGGGCAGCTTCCTAAAAATCTCTCATTGGCCCCTAGAAGCCAGTCTGTGCCAAGACCAAAACCAGATGGTTGTGGTATGTCATGAAAGTGGCTCTGCATTCAACCAGTGTGTAAACACCAAGGTGGTCTGTATGCATTTTTGTGTTGAAATGAGAGCAGTCTTCAAATGCGAAGTACATAGGGCTGCACTGGGGAAAATTAGATTCATTTATATAATTATCATTGCAAGAAGTGTGCGTCTCCCACCTGGAGTCCTTTTAGTATTATTTGCAACTGCTAAGGTGGTGTCCAGATTAGCTGTGGTGTGGTAGCACATCTAGGCTAAAAAATAAATTGGTCACAGTCCTTGAACTTCCCTGTCATAGGAACAGGAATGTTGGAAGTTTTTATTTATTATTGTTGTTATTCTTGTACTAATATTGTTGCTGTTTTATTTTCTGGGTATTAATGCTGCTGTTCTTATTACAATGAATTTGTGATTTTTAAAATATTGTATGGCTGTTTTATTTATACTGTTGCTAGGCAGACCCAGCCTCCAAATAAGAGGAGGGGCAGGATAGCGAATATTTAGGGGAGCTGTACACCTTGAAGTTACACACCAGTCACCCAAGCATGCCCCATAGCTATAAAATGCTTAGGTTGGGGACTGGAAGCCCTCAAGTACTGGATAACATAATAGAGAAAGTTGGGTGTGTGGAGAGGTACCTTTCCCTTTTTCTTGAGACTCCCCACTCCCCCACAAATTCCAAACAGTCCTGTAAGACTCATTGTCTGTTCTGGAGGAGCTGACCTGGGAAGGCAGCACCATGGAGAGCTCCTAGTGAGCAACTTGCTCCAAGGAAAGTTGGAAATGAATTGAGGCCTTTCAAACCTCTGCATCCAGTCCACCTCTGCCAGACGCCACCCACTTTTGGAGAACTGAAATCTCTTAAAATGCCACCCCACTGGACTGAAGGCAGGTATGTCTCCTGTGTTTCATGGCTTCCTGTCTGGTGTGTTCCCTGGACCATTCAGCTGGTGAGACACATTGTCCAAGTTGTTGCTGGACAATGAGGTCACGACACTCCTAGGCTAGCTGGAGCCTGGGACAAGAACACTTTTCCTGGGGGCTGAGAATGCACTGAATCTTTCAATGGTGAGTCTCACTGGTACCCCAATAATCAAATGCCAGAGACATACAAGAGGCGATGGACATCACATTCACCCCCAACTCGGAAGCTTCCAGAGGCATTTAGCTAACCACTGATACAAACAAAACTTTGGATGAATTTCTATTTTCATATGAAGTTGAAAATGCAAGCAATAATAAGGAAGAAGGTCACCAATTACAAAAAGAGCAAATTAAACTCACCGGTCCATAGGCCTTAGTATGTAAGTATGCATTTTAAGAATCGGTGCCCACTTTGCTTGTTTTCTTCTCCTCTCGTCTTTTTCACAATCTGAAAGTCTTTTTTTTTAATGATCTGTGACTCATTCTGAGAGGTTTTCATCATCATTATTATTGAAGAGCACAGTAAAACCACAACCAATAAATAAATATGGGGGGGAGGGAGTTACAGTAAAATAGCCTTAATAAACACTCCCTAACAGTTGAGAGAGTTTGGTTGTCTAATGATGCAATCCTATACTCACTTACCTGTGAGCAGGTCCTGTTCAACACAGTAGGTTTTATTTCTGAGTAGATCACACATTTTCTTTAAAAATAACTTTTACCATCCCCAGACAGGATGCCTAGTGGTCAGGAATGGTGTTGTTGTCCCTGAAAGGTAACCAGTTCTTCCTCCCTGCTCTAAGTTAATGTATGTGGCTTCTTCTGTGCGTTTCTGAGAAACATTGCATCTTCAGTCTGTCTTCTGTGAAAAGACAGGAAGCCACAACAGCATTGTGACAGACAACTTCCCCACCATTACTGAGGCAAGGTTAGTTGCTGGAGCTCAACTAGAGAAGAGAATTCTAATCTCCAAAGAGGAAGAAAGTATGTTCTTTCTACTAATAGGACCTATCCGGTGCTTGGCAGCTGTGCTCCTCCTGCTCTCTGGTGAGTTTCATGTGATGTGTTTAGCCTTCATAGGAATATAACAGAGACAGGGGAACCTGTGACCCTACAGATGCATTGGACTCCAAGCCTCATCATCCATGAACATTGATCATGCTGCCTAGGGCTGTTGGGAGTTGGAGTCCAACGATATCTGGAATGCCACAAGATCCCTGCCATTGGAATACAAGAAATGCCTCAACAACAACAAGGACTTTATTTGCGTAGCCAACAGGCCATAGCATCAGAGGACAAACACCGACAAAAATACATTACAAATTGGAATACATTGGAATACAAGAAATGCCTCAACTATGTTGACCTCCTGCGGTGTTCTGGTTGGCTACTGAAGTTTTGGATGCTTACAAAGTAGGGCATGAATGTGATGTTCCTTCATGGAACAGAAGAAGGACCTGGTGGATCAAGCCAGTGGCTCACCTAGTCTAGCATTGTGTTTTCACAGTGGCCAACCAGATGCCTGTATTTGTTGCCATGATGGCTATGCCTGCAGGAAACCCATAAGCAGGACCTGAGCACAAGAGCACTGTTCCCCTCCTGGGGTTTCCAGAAGCTGGTGTTCAGAATAATTACTGTCTCCAACCGTAGGGGCAGAGCATAGCCATAATGGGAACAAATAGCCTTGTCCTCCTTGAATTTGGATGATCTTCTTTTAAAGCCATCCAAGTTGGTGGCCATCACTGCCTCCTGGGGGAGCAAGCTCTATAGTTTAACAATATATTGCATGAAGTATTTTCTTTTATCTGTCCTGAATCTTCCAAAGTTCAGCTTCAGTGGATGTCCACAAGTTCTAGTATTATGGGGGGGGGGGACTTTTCTCTACAATGGTACCTCGGGTTACAGACGCTTCAGGTTACAGACTCCACTAACCCAGAAATAGTACCTCGGGTTAAGAACTTTGCTTCAGGATGAGAACAGAAATCGCTTGGCAGCGGCAGGAGGCCCCATTAGCTAAAGTGGTACCTCAGGTTAAGAACAGTTTCAGGTTAAGAACGGACCTCCAGAATGAATTAAGTTCTTAACCCAAGGTACCACTGTATTCACTTTCTCCATTTTATGTATCAGAAGCTTTAACAGCCCTGATCTAAAGTTATCAGCTCTCATAATAATTATATACAGACAAAAGTAGCAATTTTTAAGTAAGCTAATTTTAGATTTAGAAAAAAAATATTTTAGTAATCCTACAGCTGGTTGCTGTAGCTAACATCAAATGTTATAGATTCAGTTTAATTGGTTGGGCAAGAAAGTTTGAAACCTGAATATAGATGCTTGTGTATATAGAATATATATGTAGAGCACCTCTTTAAAAAGAAAAAGGGGGAAATGAAGAAATAAAAGCACTGCATTATTTTTCATTTAACTTTTGCTCAAGCCTGTAGTATTTGTGAATTCTGATGTAAGGCTGCTGGACATCAGAGTTTTGCCATTTTTGCATTTTAGCCATTACTTTTGTCTTATTGCACTTTGTTCAGAATGCCAGCTTTACTTGATTATATTTTGATAAACAAACTCTGCTGCCATGTTATGGTTTGCATGCAGATCTCTGTGCAGGAGAAAGGATAGTATCCATTCAGAAAGGACTTCTGTATCGAGCAAGAGGCTACCACATCACCATCTGGTGTAATGTCAGTGGTTACCAGGGACCAATGGAGCAGAATTTCGAATGGTCCATTCATCGGCCATCGGACCCAAATAGAAAGCTGCAAATTATCAGCACGGATGACGCCTCCTTTCCTTATGCTGTCTACTCTCAGCGCGTTGGAAGTAGGGAGATCTACATAGAAAGGATCCGAGGAGATTCTGTTCTGCTACACATCACAGAGCTCAAAGACATGGATACCGGCGAGTATGAGTGTTACACACCCAGCACAGATGCTGGTTACCTTGGGAATTATGGTGCCAAAACGAACATTTTCGGTATGATATGACTATTTACTGACCACTTAGCAGTTACCTTCAACAGTCTTTGGCCCACAAAACTGATTGTGTAGCCCACCAGACAGTTCTTAGGGCTTGTCAGGTGTTTAACTGCACGGCTGGATTTTGCCATTCCACGGAGGCAGCAAAAGCAGAAACTGTTCAAAAGGGCTGCCATACATGGCTGCTTGGCTCGGCTCCAATTGGAGTTTGAAAGTTTGTTCAGGCTTGTGTTAGACAGTAAATGTGGATGTTTTTGAATTCAGCTGGAGAATGAGCTCCACTCTGCAACAGCTGCTAAGTAAGAGGCACTGGAATGGAGATGCGAGACAGCTCATGTGCTTTGCTGAACTGTTCTGCCTATGACTTCTGAGGCTCCATTAGTTTCCCTGGAAGGTGTGACCAAGAGTTAGGGAATCTTTATTTATAAAATCCTGTTCTTCCTTCAAGGAGCTGGGGTGGCATACATGAACCCCTAATGACTCACAACAATCCTGTGTTGAGGCAGTTTAGTCTTGAGAGTGACTTAATCCAAGATCACCTAGTACACTACATGCTTGGGTGGGACTCTCCCTGCTCCAAGTCCAGCACTGGTAAGGTATAAACATTCCTTAGAACCACTGATTAGTTCCTCCTAAAAAATAATCACTTCAGGGGGCTCAATGGATGCTAGTCAGTCGCTTCTAGTCCAACCTCTTCTAAAAGAAGTGTGTGGCTCTGTATGCATCTGTGAACATCCTTCCATCTGTGTTTTCTTGTATTTCTTCATTTCATTTTAGTAATTCCAGACCTGCTCGCTGCCACCATGAGGCCACAGACTCTCACTCGAGATCAAGGGGATTCATTAGAACTCATTTGCGAAGTGTCAACAGCTACAGTCCAACACACCCACCTCTCGGTTGGTTGGTACTTTCTTCCAGAAGGAGGCAATGGACAAGCCCAGAGGATCCTTTCCCTGTCCAGAGATTTTGTCTTACTACCAGGATCCTCTTACAATCAGAGGTTTTCCTCAGGAGATATCAGGCTAGACAAAATTGGGAGCAGAGAATATAAGCTCTCCATTGTCAGCGTACAACCCTCAGACCAGGGGGAAGTGTACTGTGAGGCAGTGGAGTGGATTCAAGATCCCGATGAAACTTGGAAAGATATTGCCCGGAAACAGACAGACAAAACATCACTGACCATCAGAAGCCTGGGTAAGAGTTGTATTTTCTACCCGTCATATATCCTGCCATTCCTGAAAGAGGCAATGAGCTACTTGATAGCCAGTGGGAGAGTAATTGTCTATGTATTTTTCCCACAAATGCACACAGTTAACTTGATTCACCATTTTACTCCAAGCCTTCTATACAGCTCTGACAGGCTTCGCATCCCAAAAACAAATATTTGATTCCATACAACAATTGGGGAAAGAAATTCAAAAATGCAAGAGAGGCCATTTTCCATTATTGAAAATGTAAGCAAGATTAGAGCAGTACTCCTTCATCATTTTGTAAAAGTTGCTTAGGAATCTTTATCGCTTGGAATGCAAACTTTGTAACTAATTCAGTTATGTGAGATGGTGTTATCTGTGAGAAGGAAGGCTGTATATTTTACTCTAAAGACCTTCCTGGGAAGGGCACAATAAAATAAAATTTAATTTGCAGCTGATGATCTCCTTGGAGCCAGCTGGAACATCAAAAAGTAGCATTATGTATAAACAACTCTGGCTTTTTCATTTACCAGTTTGTCAGTGCTTCTTTATATAATCAGCCATTCTGGATTGCTGTTGTTGTTTTTTAAAGTTTTTAAAGTGCTGCTCTAAGCTACTGTAATAAAGCTATGGAAGAATGAAAGAGAAAAGCACTCCATCTACGCAAAGAGAAAAGAGACTGTCTGCTCTGTCAGATCCAGGTGTGGCTCGTCCTATTAACATCCTGGAGTGTGGGGAGGAATCAAGGACCATACATCATGCAGACATAAACCATGAGACTGGCTAAATAATACATGGTGCTTAACGCAAATACTACTGATGATGATGATAAAGTGGTAGTTTAGGGTTATTTTTCCCCACTCTTTCAGTTGCTACAGCTGTGCTGCTGTTGAAATGTGATCCTCCTACACTAGGGAATTGAAAGCTAGCTGGCTGATTCTGTTCTGCTTCTTTTCGCTTTCGGTTGCGGCTACCTGTAGTTCTTCTTTGCCTTAGCACCGACAGCTTCTGTGGATCACGAAAATCATGTAGCGTTTCGAGCAAGAGGGCGGCAGGAGACTCACCTCGCTTCCTAGTCCAGCCATTGCCAAGGCAGATTGTGGTCTCTTCTGCAGCACGGCTGTGTATTGTAGGGATCGGGGAGGGAAGTATTGATGTAACAGGGAGCAGGACAAGGTTCAAGTGCTGGAATAGAGGCCTGCTCACCCCTTGTGCTAACCAGAGGATTTAACACCAAATCCTGCACCTTGGTACATACCTAGCACCAGTGCATTAGGCAAATGGATTCTATAATTGCCTCTTTCCACGTAACATTTATTGAAATTCTATATCCTCTTCCCCTCTGCCAGCTCCCCATTTGTCGAATTACAATCTGTTGAGCTCTGCTGTGGGATTAGTGCTGCAAGAACATGGAGAAAGGGATGGGCTGCCTTCCCACATCCTCATTCACCCCAGGGGAGCTGCAACCTAAATTGAAGAGCACACAGCACACACCCTGTCTCAACAAGAGCGATGCTTTTTTAACCCACTTCCAGGCTGAAACACGTTATGCCACGTTGTTGGCATAAGATATTCAGCAAATATTTGTGAATGGCAAACGTTTGTTCGGGATTTCTGCTCTGAATTATTTATGTGCTTGCATTCAATGCCTTGGATAATTTATGCGCAGTAAGCAATTAGACCAGCGGCTCAAGCTATGATTAGCTGCAGTGCTTTGGGCTTTGGATGCATGGAGCGAGAGCTCTGAAATTGCACTGATATTAGGGAATGCACAGCACAGGGGCACAGGAGATGTAAGAAGTTTCCTTGCACTGAATCAGGTCACTGGTCAATATTGTCTAGGCCAACCTTTGCCAACCTGGTGCCCCCTGATGTTGTTGGACTACAACTCTCATCAGCCCCAGCCAACACATGCTGACTGGGGCTAATGGGAGTTATAGTCCAGCAACATTGAAGAGTCACATTTTCAGGAAGCAGGTCTTCCAGGACTCGCAGCCAAGATGGTCTTTGAATGTCGGTATTCCTAGGAAGAAGGCAGAGTATGGGGTGGGAAAGTTGCCAAAACTGCCCTGGTTTCGTGGCTGTAGCATTAAGAACGGAAGCTGATTTTTGCACATAATAATAATAATAATAATAATAATAATAATAAATTTTATTTATATCCCGCCCTCCCCAGCCGAAGCCGGGCTCAGGGCGGCTAACAACAATAAAACAGTACAAAAGTACAACACTCTAAAATCATTCATTATAAAATTAATTAATTCAAGCCACTGGCAACCATTGGGCCAGAGCTCCGCGAAGATTGCCGAGGGAGGGAGTTAGGCTGTGCCCTGGCCAAAGGCCTGGTGGAACAGCTCTGTCTTGCAGGCCCTGCGGAAAGATGTCAAGTCCCGCAGGGCCCTGGTCCCTTGTGACAGAGTGTTCCACCAGATCGGAGCCATGGCCGAAAAAGCCCTGGCTCTAGTTGAGGCCAGCCTAACTTCTCTGTGGCCTGGGACCTTCAAGATGTTTTTATTTGAAGACCGTAAGTTTCTCTGTAGGGCATACCAGGAGAGGCGGTCCCGTAGGTACAAGGGTCCTAGGCCGTATAGGGCTTTAAAGGTTAAAACCAGCACCTTAAACCTGATCCTGTACTCCACCGGGAGCCAGTGCAGCTGGTGTAGCACCGGGTGAATGTGATCTCGCAGCGAAGACCCCGTAAGGAGTCTCGCTGCAGCATTCTGCACCCGCTGGAGTTTCTGGGTCAGTCTCAAGGGCAGCCCCACGTAGAGCGAGTCTGGAGGTGACCGTCGCGTGGATCACAGTGGCTAGGTCAGGGCGAGAGAGGTAAGGAGCCAACTGCTTAGCTTGGCGGAGATGGAAAAATGCCGCCTTTGTTGTAGCTGCAATCTGCGCCTCCATGGAAAGGGAGGTGTCGAAGATTACACCCAAACTCTTAACGGACGGTGCTGGCACTAATTGTGCCCCCGCAAGAGATGGGAGTTGCCCCCCAAATCCCATATCGTCCCACATCACATTTTAGCCCCCTTCAGCCTCCTGCTTTCATGCTGGAAATCATAGAATTGTAGAGTTGGAAGGGACCCCTGCAATGCAGGAACCACAACTAAAGCATCCAAGACAGATGGCCATCCAGCCTCTGCTTAAAATCCTTCAAGGAAGGAGAGTCCATAACCTCCCGAGGGAGACTTTCTCACAGTCAAACAGCTCTTACTGTCTGAAAGTTATTCCTGATGTTTAATCAGAATCTCCTTTGTTGTAACTTGAAGCCATTGGTTTGGACCCTACCCTCTGAAGCTGGAGAAAAGAGCTTGGTCCATCCTCCATGTAGATATTTGAAGATGGCGATCATGCTGGAGGAAGATGCCCATGAAAATATGTCACACATCAAGTATGGTATACTCCTGCTTATTGCACTAAAGCTACCACCTGAAAGGCAAAATTGAATCTGGACTTAACTATCTCTGCTGCTTTATATTTTCACAGATCAAAATTTTGATGTTGACATCGCTGTTGCTAAGAGGTCTCTCCTGGAAGGGGAAGCCTTGCAGATCAACTGCTCTGTGAAAGCCCAGAATACGCAAAACAGATGGTTCCGGGTGGTTTGGCGCCATCACAGTATGGTGATGGCTAGTCTCGATCATTATGGCACCTTGTCTTTTCGAAATGACAATGAGGAAAGGTATACTGTGGGAAACCTCCTAGTGAAGAAGCAGAGCAATGATAAGTACATCCTCAGAATCAACAAGGCGGAACTGAAGGACAAAGGCACCTATAGCTGTTTCGTTTCTGAAGTTGGGCAGACTCCCACTGGCTCCTTTGCTATCGCACAACAAAAGTCTTCATCAGCCATTGATATAGATGTGAAGCCTAGAGGTCAGTCATGCCAAACGCTTTCCCTCCAAACAAAATATGGGAATAGCCCCTGGGCTGGGGTTCACTGATGCCCTTTGCTAGCATACTCTAAACCAAAACTCACAGGTATATTAGACCATTCTGTAGCATAGGGCAGTCCAGTGCTTCTCTTCTAAAAATAAGGCTCCAGTAACCTTGAGTACCCCCAGAAAAAAAGCACTGGGGCAATCCAACATTAAAAGAAGTCATTCAGAACTGACCAGAGACTCCAAATTTTGCAATCAAACATCAGTCTCCAAAATCCTATGGGAGAGGTAAATTGTGCAACTATAACAATTTAAGGCTTAAGATGGTGAACACTGAGTGTGTCCTTTTCTATATACCATCTTTCCATTGTGGGCTACAGATAGAAAATAGGAAGTGGTTTGAGAGCACTGTCTCTTCCTCTGTGGTGTAAGCCATTTCCTGACATTACAACACATTTGACAGCTTTTTGAAACACTACAAATTCCTGCTTATTAGGGATAGTTGGATGTACAAGTGCACTAGTATCCCACTTTCAAAAATGATTTCATATTTGGGGTGGGGGGTGGGGACTGCTGCCTGTATCCAGCCTTAGTTTGCAAAGTGGGAATAGACTGGTGACATCATCACCACTCCAGACTGTCTCTCAAGTTTTTCTTCATTAGTTAAGGATTCCATTCTAATGCTTTCACTATTTCCCCATTTTTCTCCCTATGTACCTCTTTGTTCCATGATTTCCTGTCCTATTTCTGTGGGCTTTTTACAAAGCTATGCAGCTTCAAGTGTGCTCCTTTAAAAAAAAAAAAGATCTGGCAAACTGCTGTTGAAAATTTGCATGAGGCAACTATACAGGAATGTCTGTGGTCCAGGAATAGATGAAAGTTTCATTCAGGATAAAACTCCCATTCCCTTCAATCTCATGAACATCCCTGCCTTCAAGTTAGATTTATGTAGTATACCATAGCTTATTTCAGTGTTCAGGGGCATATACGCGTCTGTTCCTTTTTTAAAGTTTTGTGATGGAGGAATTGGGAAAGAGTAACAAACATGAGCATACTAGTTTTCTAACCCTTCTGGTCTGATCATGAAGTCTTTCTTCCCATCACTGAAAACTCTACATCTTCATAGCTCTACAATTCAGTGATAAAGAACATTTTTTAAATTGTGAAGTTCCTTCTTTGACGAGTAGCATTTGCATTTGACAAATGAAAATGGATACCAAGGGATGTCTAGATTCCTCTTCTTGTCTCATTAAATTCTGCCTACTGTTCCTATAATACTATTATTTGATTGATTATTTAATTTTGCTATCCCACATGTCTCCAACAATACCAGGGTAGCATACATGATTCTATTTCCTCCTTTCTATTCACAACAGGCCTGTAAAGTAAGCTAGGTGGAGAGTGGGAATTTGAACTCTAATCTCTCCACCAATCCAACCACTCCATCAGCTTCAGCTGTGCCCCTACTTGGGTAGGGATAGTCTAGCTATTGTTGTCTATGCACTTTTAACCCCTAAGTTAGATTAGTGCATTGCATTATACATAGGGCTGCCTCTGAAGCTGGTGCAGAAACTTCAGCTGGGGCAGAATTTGGTGGTCAGGTTGCTCACTGGGCGCAGGAATGTCCAGCTGATGATTCCTCAGGATCATTGGCAGTCTGAATATGTGCTGGAGGGTTCAGCTTCTCTTGGTCCTCATTGAAAGGAATCTCAGGTTTGAGGTTTAGACACAGCTGAATTATGGCCATGTTGGATGAGGAGCTCGAAATGTTTGGGATCCATTTAAGTCATCTGTTTCAGACCTCCTTCACAAAATGAGAAGAAGACCAGTTCTGCAACACTTTGTTATGGTTATATTACTGCCAAAGAGCAAGGGCATAGATTGTAGGAGACAGTAGAGTTCTCAGCCACGGTGATCTGGTAAAACCAATGAATTTGGTGATCTCGGTGTTAAGGAAAACAACAAGTCAGGAACCAAAAAGCCATCTAGTGAGAGAGGGCGAGTCACTTAGTCTCTTCATGCCTTACATTTTGTCCTATGGAGAAATGAGCTCAGTGTGAAAAGATCTTAACACATGATGGTGTATAAGAACATAGTATGAGTTGTCTGGATCACACCAACGGCCCATCTAGTCCAGCATCCTGTTCTCACAGTGACCTATGGGACAACAGCACACTCTCCACTAGTGATTCCCAGCAAGTGGCATTTAGAAGAAAACTGTCTCCATCAGTGGCAATAAAGATATGGATGATCTCTATACAGAAAAGAGGACATGTATCAGACGAGAAACGTAGAGGACATGTGTCAGTGAAACTTTCCCATTAACCAGTTAGAATGCTCAGTAGAAAAGTAAGATGATCTTCTATGAAATAGATAGTGTCAAAATGCAAACCTATTCTGTGTCTTCTTCCCTCTTTCCCTTTGATTCAGATTTATCCATCTATATAACCATTCAGATTTATCCATCTATATATCCATTGTGTTTTGTTCACAGAAAGCCACTTGCAACTGTTTGTGTGGGTCAATAAGAAACAAATAATGGAAGGAGAAACTTTGGTCTTCAACTGTAATGTGAATATAGCTGCAAATTCGCTATCTGTGAGCTGGTGGCATATCCAGAGGGACAGAGATCCTCCACTGCTCATAGCCAGCCTGGAACAAAATGGCAGACTAAAGATAGGTGCTTCTTACTTGGAGCGCAGTGCTCATGGTGAGCTGAGGTTAGAGAAGAGGGACCCTTCCATGTTTACCTTGACCATCTACAACACTTTAGCCACAAAGGATACAGGGCTGTATCGCTGTGAAGTGACAGAGTGGTCTGGGAGCAGGAGCTGGAAACACACACAGGAAATCTCAACAAGAGTTGAACCACTGGGTAAGTTCATCCTATATCCTTTCCCTTTCACATACTTCTAGCTATCCTGTCTAATTATCCAAGCTAAATGTTATACGCAACAACTCTTTAAGCACACATATATGTCTTTGAGAAGAGACCGAACCAGTCCCAGGTTCAATCAGAGCATCTGTTTCAAAGGATCAGGTAGCAGGTGGTATCACAGGCCTCTGCCTGAGACCCCAAAGAACCACTCCCAGAGTGGACAGGACTGGATTAGATGAACTGACCCAAGCCCTAGTACAAGACAGTGGTCTGACTTCCTAACACTGTGCTGCAGAGATGTATAAAGTACTCCTGAAACATCATTCCTCCTTCTGTGAACAGTCTATAACTGAGCTGGGTTATTTCTTGCTAAGCCCAAGGCAATGCTTTTGTGATTTTGACTCAGTTGGCTTGGAAGCAATCCAGGTCAGCAAACATCTATTCAACAGAATGGGTGTGATATGATAGAAAATATAATATTTTATGACATCTGTCCTTACCTCAGCAGTGAGACTTTCTAGACAAGTAGTGAGTAGTGATCACTCACTGTAGCACAAGATGTTAGGGAAAATACTGTCTCTCTTTAAGTAACTGAGACTCTGATGGCAACTGCTGTATGTTGGCTACTACAGGTGTAATGTCCAAAATAGTCAGGTGACCAAGACTTTCCTACAAATAGAAATTTGATGGCATTTGGGAGAGAGATTGACAAGGTATCTCTGGTGTTGATGTAAATGTCCTCAATTTTCTCTGGCTTAACAGGGCAGAATTTGAAAGCTATACTGAGTAGCAGAGTTCCAAATGTAAAACTGCAGGAAGACCTTGTACTGTTCTGCAAGGTGGCTGGTAATGATGACATCACCAACAATGTGCCAATTTCCATCACCTGGCTATTCCAGCCTCACTTGAAGCTGAGTGGCTATCAGCAAGTGGTCAAAGCCACCGCAAGAGGCACCATCGAATGGGGATTGGCGTTTATGCAATTTGAGAAGAAAACCAAGATTACAAAAGCCTCTTCTTTATCCCAACTCCTTATCCACAGTGTCACATGGCAAGAGAGAGGGATGTATAAGTGTGAAGTTGAAATCTGGAGAAACTCACAGGATGCCAGAAACTTGTCTGCAATAGCAGCTTCTGTGCTATCCTCTAATCCTGTGGAGATCAAGGTCACCCAACCAGGTAGGTGTTTAGAAACCATTGTCAGCCTAACCTTTTCCTTTTGCTACAGTATTAATCACTGTCTTCTAGGAAGCGTCTCTCATAAGTCTTCGTGATTGACTCAAATCACAGTCCAATATGTTGAATGCAATAGATTTTATTTTGCCCCATAGTGTTGACTGTCTTTTCCCAAACATATCCAAGACTGCCTTACTTTGTGACATTTGTATTAAATTTTTCTATTTTATTTAAATGTCCTACCAGCTTTATGAATGGATAATTCCTAAAATCCCTCCAATGATGTATAAGGGAGCACTGATAAAACAAATACCCTTGGTTGTATCAAGAGCTCAGAGTAGACCCACTGAAGCTAATGAACCGAAGTTAGCAACGTTCATTTTTATTTATTTATTTATTCATTTTCACTCTGAGTAGCACAAGTATTGTATACAAGCCACTATTCCCATCTCAGTGATTTGGTTACTTCTGTTCTTATATTTGCTAAATGTGTTTATTGTTTTTAAAATTTTATAGATTACTTTGAGTTGTTTTTAAATGCATTTTATTTTAAATTGTCACCTATCAGTGATGGTTCTGCCACCATGGGCTCCTTTAGAAAGAAGGACAGAATATACATTTAATAAAATAAACAAAAATAAAATAAAGCCCCTTTTGTGAAAGCACCCCCCCTTTCTTCTGTTTGCCAAGAATAGGCAATAAGTTAAGATGCTAGAGGAAGCTGATAACTTCTTACCATACGTCTGACCAATGCTGTGGAAAGGGGAGACGTTTTGAAATGACTCATACTGGGGGTTTTGCACCCACAGTGGGTAGACAATAGTTTTTGCAGAAATGCATCCGTTGACAGCCTGCGCATATAATGGGAAGCAGCTGCTGGGTTCTTTTGCATACTTCACTTGCCACCGCAGAGAGAAGAGATTGCACTGTCAGCAGCTGGGTTCAAAGCAAGAGAAGGAACTTGGAGATTGTGCTCAGTTAATTAAATTGAAGTGGGTTCTGATTTCTCCTTTCAAGTCATCTCTCTTTAGCAAGGCCACTGTGGGTGACAAGAAACTTAAAAGAAAGAGCCTGGCTATCCTTAGCAAGATCTGCTTTGGGGGGGAAACTGTAGCAGGTTTTTGTAATCGGCATCTTCAGATGAAAATCAAGTACAGAGCTCTGGGATCTAATGAGAATATTGGAAGCGGGAAAGGATGCCCTTATTACAGCCTTTTCCAAGAGTCCTTTCTCTTGGAAGCGATTCAGACGCTATCCGTGATACTTCCTTGAGAGAAGCCAACAACCCGTGCAATCCTTTCCACAATCCCTTGTGGGTTTTGCTTTTGCTATAGTCTACAACTTCTTCATTGCTGATGAGGCACAATGTGAAAACCATTAAGATGCTATTTCCACTTGCTGGAAAGGTTAACAAGCCAAATCATAGAATTGTAGAGTTGGGCTCCAAGGGTCATCTAGTCCAACCCCCTGCAATGCCAGAATCACAACTAAAGCATCAATGTCAGATGGCCATTCAATCTCTGCTTAAAAACAGCCAAGGAAGAAGAGTTCACAACCTCCTGAGGGAGACCATTCCACTATCGATCAGCTCTTACTGTCAAAAAGTTATTCCTAATATTTAATCGGATTCTCATTTCTTGTTGTTTGAATCCATTGGTTCAGGTCCTACTCTCTGGAGCAGCAGAAAGCTTGTTCCATGAATTATTGTATTTTAATCTTTTGTTGGAAGCCGCCAAGAGTGGCTGGGGAAACCCAGCCAGATGGGCGGGGTATAAATAATAAATCATCATCATCTTCCGTGTGGAAGCCCTTGAGATATTTGAAGATGGCTCTCATTTCACCTCTCACTCTCCTCTTTTCCAGGCTAAACATACCCAACTCCCTCAAGCACGTCTCATAAGGCTTGGAAGGACCCAACATACCTTCTCTGATCATTTCACTTAGGCAGCCGTAAATCCTTTTGCAGGAATGTGACGGGCAAGATTAGGATTAAAATGAAAGGAAGGAGAAGTAAGGAAGGAGGAGTAAGGAGATGGACAGACAGCTGCTCTGAATGAGAGAAGATCGTAAAATGGATAATAATGAAGATGGTGCTCAGATATTTTCTAGATCTCTGAACATCTTCCTTTCCATCCAGTCAGAACTCTCCCATTTATGTCACAGATAGTTTTAAAATCACAACAGAGCAAAAACTAAAGTGGAGGCAGAGTTACATTCAGGAGGAATTTGCAACAATTTACGATATGCGTATAATTCCTTTTATGATTTGACTTTTTTGGGTGAGCCTGGCCCACATTATATAATCATTGCTAAAGGTTTAAGAATGGGGGCATTACTTTCTTTCTAGTACCTCTGAATATAGTGCTGATTTCTAAAGCTTTTTGTGGAGCAAATATGCGTGTTAAAAGAGGTTCTAAAATGTAAAGAGAAGTGCAGCAAATTAAAATGTGCTGGAATCCTGAAACCCAGATGGGAACTCACTCTATATATATTTTTTTAAGGATATGAATGAATCATGGTCTTCATAAGAGCTTGAACAAAATTGTTTGGCCTGTGTTCTGCAAAATTTATATTAGAATAGATTGTTTTTTGTAATATATTCAGTTAATTTAAATACTATTTCACATTTCAATATACATCTTAAATGGTTTAGAACAAAAAAAAATCAGCATAAAAATACAATATAATTCTACATTCTAAAGTAAGCAAAATTGCTATGATTACTTATTATATTGTTATTATTCCACATTTTAATAATGGTGTCAATATTAGCAAGTAACTACTATTTCTTTGCCTTTTATTCTAGAAAGCAATCTAAGACTCAACATGGATGTAAAGTCTTTGGAAATCACTAGCAATGAAGATGTAAGAATTGATTGCAGAATCAGGTCATGGACCAATGAGAATTCTGAGTTAGGAGTTGCCTGGTACTTTCTCCCATTTTCTCCCACGAATTCAGTTCCACTGCTGATTATAAGAACGAATTACACTAACATATTGGAATATGGGGAGGCGTTCAGTTCTCTGCATCAGAAATCCAGGTTTCATAACAAGAGGGTCTCCAACCACCTGTACCAGCTGCTTATTCTGTCAGGGGGTTATGTTGCCCATGGCGAATATTACTGCGTAGTAGATGAGTGGATCTGGTTAACAGATGGGGGCTGGTACAAACTTGGAACGATGGAATCTGGAAAAACCACGCTAAATTTCAAGTTTTCAGGTAACCGACTTTATTTATTCATGGATCTTTTAGATGAGGGTAGCCAACATGGTGCATTTGGGATGTTTTGGCACTGAAATGACAAGAGATTCTGCCATTCTCTCTCCCCGCCCTCAGTGGTTCAGCTGAGCTGGGGCACCATTGCAGAAATAGGAGGACTGGCACAAAACACTGGGCTGCCTGAGAAGATTAGACCACTCATCACTGTGCTTATCTCTGCCTACTCCTGGCTTAGCTCTTTGGCGGCATGCTGGGGACCTCAGTGCCACTCTTTGAGGGGGGCACAGGGAATAAGGTCACAATGGAGAATGTCTGCCCATGAAAGCAGCAGATGCATTTTAAACTGGCTTTAAACATTTACTTTAACCCAGGCTTCCTCAACCTCGGCCCTCCAGATGTTTTTGGCTACAACTCCCATGATCCCTAGCTAGCAGGACCAGTGGTCAGGGATGATGGGAATTGTAGTTTCCAAACATCTGGAGGGCTGAGGTTAAGGAAGCCTGCTTCAACCATTTAATCAACTCTGCTTGTCTCTGTACTGGTATCCCAAGCTACAAAATCATTTTTATTGCTTTTGAGTCTTATATTGGCACGTTACTGCCTTTAAAACTTGATTCTTTTATAAATTAACATCACCATCACAAGAGTCATGTGGATATTGCTGGCTCTCGGGAGCAGAGACACTAACATTGGTTCATTATTGGTCTGTTTCAAATCCCACAAATAAGCAATGCACTACTATCACCAATGCAATTGTGTTTGTGTGTACACAATTGCCTCCAGTAAAGATCCCCAAAGTCAATACTCTTAATTCCCCCAATTTAGTGCATTCACCTTTGTTCTACCTTTTGCATTAACATTACATCCCCCAGGCGTTGTTGTTGTTAGATACAGACAAACAGCAGGCTGAGATGCCTGCTTGCAAGTAGGTCTCTGCCTGCTGTTTGAAATGATGGATCTCCCAGGTATATGGCCTAATAATTTGTTGTTATAAACAGCCACTCCAAAATTTGAGCAGACTTACTCATGAGTACAACCAAATCTTTGTCTAGACATTGTAGGGGAGTTATGAACCCTTTAAGAAGGCGATGACTTACCCCTCAATATCTCTGACTCCAGCAAGACACACAGGGCCCCTTCCAGACTGGTGTTTGATTGTGTGTGTATTCTGCAACATCTTTGTGATGTAATACCAGTGCATTGGCAGTGGATTCATTCTGCTTTGGTTTGTTCTGCAATGTTCTCCCCCATGCTACCACATTATTGCTGTTGGAGGGGTTATAGCGCAACAAAAGCAGGATAAAAACAAACCAGAACATTAGTCATATTTTTAAAAAAATTGTGGGATTTCAGCAGGAAGCTACAGGATCTCCACTAGCTGGAAGTGAAGCTCCAAAACTTTTGCAGCTGCAAACAGTATTGAAAGTGGAATTGCATTAGACCATCCGGAACCATCTGAACAATTGGGCAGACTGAGGTTGCTGAGGTTCTTGAGGCGCCAGCCCTATGGGCATCCTGCCTGCCCTGCCAGCTGGGCAGAAGTGGCGTTGGTATCGGCCGAAATCATGTGAGATCTTGTGGAGTGTAGAATTTTGACTAGATCTCACCCAAAATTGGTGCTGATGCTGATGCTGCTTCTCCACCAGTGACTGAGCCGGCAGCATAGGCAGAGAAGCGGCACTGGTGGCAGCAGGTCTGGCGGCAGTGGTAGGGTAGGGCAGCACTTCTTGTTTTGCCTCGCTGCTCCTGAGACTGCCCCAAGAGCATCATGTGTGCAAATCATCATGAATGCACACACAAAAAGCTGTCTGGAGGGGCCCACAAAGTGTAGCTTGGACCAGCTATTTCTGGTATGTCCCGGGACAATTCCTAGGATTGGGGAATGCATAGTGCCAATCGGAGTGATTAAAGGTGTGACGTAATATCCCAAATAACATTTTCTTTTTCTTTCTTATTTTGGTTCTCCCCCAGAAAATAAGCCACTCGTTGAAAGAATGAACTACAGCATCACTGTCATGGAAAATGAGGACGTGACCTTGAACTGTACCCTCCAGAGGCCATTCCAGCCCACCTCCCACTTCTCCATCAGTTGGTTCAGAGTGTCAGAACAGTCCAGTGTGGAAACCCTGGTGCATATGAAAGGCAATGGCATCATTGACTACGGTAATGGCACAATGTCAAGGAGACTGCACCCCCATTGCCCTTCTGCGGGTGATTTTCTTCTGATCCTGCAGAATGTGGAGAAGGATGATGCTGGGCTGTTCTTCTGCCGGGTGGAAGAGTTCAAGGCTGTCGACTGCAGTGCTGAAGGAGCAAAACATGAATGGGGTGAATCGGGATTCAGCAAGCTAGTTGTACTCCCTTCAGGTAATGCTGATCTGACTCCCGGGTGCATGTCAGTGCTGAACTCCCAGCCTTATACCTGGTTTAAAGGCGATCCTTACCCTCTTTAGACAGTTCAGATTGGGGAAAGTAAACACATAAGAGGAAGCATTTGGGCACACTAGCTCCACCCCCTTCACATTTATTCCATTCACTTTCCATCTTGTGGAATCAAAAAGAGTCATCAAACACTGGGGACGAAGAAGGAACAGGAGGGCTTAATTATGGAGTTGGGATGTGGCAAGGCAATAGGAAGAAGGGTAGTAGTAATGGGTTATTCTGTAAGAACATTAGAAGAACCTGCTGGATGAGGCCAATGGTCCATCTAGTCCAGCATCCTTTTCTCACAGTGACCAATCAGGTGTCTAAGGGAAGCCAGACAGCAGAATCTGAGCACAACAGTACTCTCTTCTTTTAAGCCAAATTTCAGTGGCAGGTAGAGATCCTAGGGTGTCAGGAAAGGCCTCTGCAAGGACTTTAGTAACTGCTGGTGCCCCTTGGTGACCCCTTTTGATTGATAAACATAGTAGGTAGATAAGCCTTACACATTCGGAGCACAGAAAGCAGACAGAAGGTTTGTTTTGCTACTGTTATAAAGTGAGACCAAAAGACCAAGCAATCAGTAAGTGGAAGCTCCAATGAGTGTTGGAGCAACCAGCTTCCCGCTATCATACACTGAGAATGACTAAATGTAGAAAAATGAACAGTGTAAATAAATACCAAAAGAGAGGCAATACTTTTCTGTAGCCGCTTCCAGTCTCTGCTGAGTCCTCTTATAACAGTCCCATGGTGTCAAATTGGCTAAAAAATTCCATTTCATGATTTTTAGTGCAGTATGGTAACTTTAAGTTCTGCCCAATAATGTCTTAGGAGACTGAAATGCTATCCTAGTGGTTTGTGTCTCCGTTTATGCGATCTCACGCAGATTTTTACCTGGCCTATGAAAATGGGAGAAGCACATTGCCTGCAGTTGATGGCAAATTCTAAAACAGTGCTAAAATGGCAGTGCAGACACATTCCAAGAATGACAATCCATGCCGTGTATTATGCACGTGATCTAAATATAACTACAGTGGTACCTCTGGTTAATAACTTAATTCGTTCCGGAGGTCCGTTCTTAACCTGAAACTGTTCTTAGCCTGAGGTACCACTTTAGCTAATGGGGCCTCCCGCTGCTGCCGCACCACCGCCACGCGATTTCTGTTCTCATCCTGAAGCAAAGTTCTTAACCTGAGGTACTATTTCTGGGTTAGCAGAGTCTGTAACCTGAAGCGTCTGTAACCTGCAGCGTCTGTAACCCGAGGTACCACTGTACTTGGTCACAGACATTTCACTTTTGCATATCTGTTAGAATGGGTGATAATGAAGATTCTGAAAATATTTTTTTTAAAAGATGTATTCAACATATATTAAAATGCATGGTTTTTAAAAGATGTATTCAAACTTTCTGCAGCCTACATAGATGAAGGAAATTCAAGAATGAACAACTATGTTTTCACCCTGTTTCCCTCCCTGCAGTGTCAACCAGTTCCACCCAGATCTGTTCTTCTCCGCCGCTGTTCCGTTTCCTTGTATTCTACCCTCTGGTCCTGTTTGCTATCCTGGTGGCTGCCTTCCTCGTCTGGCACTTCAAAAAGAAATGTGCTCAGAAGAACAAACTGAGTCTGTGGGAAGAGAAGACATCTGTTGAAGCTGCTGAGATGGTGGCACCATCCCATTCCAAGCTCAGTTCCGAAAGCCACAAAGACATAGCGGAGGAAGAAACCAATCGTCTCAAGGGTAACGAAGAGGAGTGACCATTTGTTGAAGAGTGAACAGAGGCATTTTGTGCTGCATTGAATTCTGATGACTTTGAGGGAGACTTCTCTTTAGCACTCAATCAGAGCAAATGGCAATTTGGGTTCTCCCAAGACAGACAGATGTCAACAACTGATGTTGGAGGCTATCTCCATTCTCGCTGTTGGTTTGACTTACAGCTCCCTCCCCTCTTTTTCTCTTCTTCTTCTTCCTATACTTTTTGACTCTGTGGATCTTCACAAACAGGTACAATATTTAGCAGCAGGAAGTTTTATTCAACAATCTAGAACTTGCCTCTAGAGAGTGTGAAGTGAACTCTGTTCCCTTCTCAGGCAGCGCACGGGAATGAATTCCTGGCTCAGTGCTTCTTTTAAATGGATTTGTTACTCGTGGGGCACGAACTCAACATGGTACTTTTTTAACCATGCAGAGAGGCACTTTTAACCTTTCATAAAAAGACATAATAAAGCAATAATGCCATGGATGTATTTCAGCATTAAATTTAAAGACGGTTAGCACTTAAATTCCCGCTGCCTTTCTCCCATTCTAATTCTATTCTCTGCTGACCCTGCACAGTTTTATGAAGCTCAGATTTAAGGTGATTCACTGTGGGTTTTTAAACAAGACTCAAGACAGCAGAGACACACAAATATCCCCTCTTAATCTCTTTCATGGACACACTGAGACATATTCCAGAAGAACTGAACATTTAGAATACACACTTTATCAGAATTTTGTAGCAGTTTGAGAGTCGGACTAGGACCTGGGACACCGTGACTCAAATTCCCACTTGGTCATGATGAAGCTCACTGGGTGACCCAGGCCAGTTGACTGCTTCTCAGCCTAACCTACCTCACAGGGTTGTTGTGGAAATTACATGAGGGAGGGGGAGAACAATGTATACCATTTTGAGCTCCTTGGAGAAAAAGGTGGGATAAAAATGCAATTATTATTTTTTTTAAATTGCCAACTATATAGAAGGTAACACAATCTTGAGACTAGTCCCAAGGGTGATCAACGAATCAATGCATGCAAAAAAATTTGCAAAGCAACAGGGGATGCTGTTACCGGGTGGCCCTAAGAATCTGTTGCCCCAGGTTTCCAGCCCCTTCTCCTTGTTTTTTCTTTTCTTTTTAAACTTAATATTTATATTATTTTGCTTACAGGACTGCTGAGCATTTTCAAGGCACAGTGTTGCTGAGACCCCAAGCACCCATTATCTTAATTTGATCAGAGACCTAAATTCCCTTCTCTCTATAAATTACCACGTTCAAATTGTATGCAAGTCTGTGTCATAGGCCTGCGCCCTTTTAAACACCTAGTGGCATCCCCAAGAGCAGCCAGCTCCAGAAGAACTATAGATCAAGTCACAATGCGCATTACACGGTCAAGGAATTAAGTACCTAGAAAACACATGTGCGCACATGCATATATAAAGGTACTTGGAATGCAGATTTCGATGAGAGCTGAGGCTTTTTAGCCTAGTGGCATCAAGCTTTTGGATCAGTGATCCTACTGAAATCAGACATGCACCTACAATGCTGATACTTCATCTCCTGCTGAAATCATTTGTTTCACCAAGTGTTTTTAGAGAATTAATTTGATTTGTGTTGGTCATTTGTTCTGTGTTTTATGATTCAGTAATTATATGGTGTTTTAATCAATTTTATTGTACATGGCTATGGAAAAGAAAAACTGAAAGTGTGTGTGTGTGTGTGTGTGTGAGAGAGAGAGAGAGAGAGAGAGAGAGAGAGATGGATGCCCACCATGCTCCTTCCAGTTTATTGTATCTTGGAGGAGAACATCAGTAGCAGGCAGGAACCCTGACCAGGAGTACTATTGTCAGGAGGTCCTCCAAGATTTTGCACTATCCAGAGTTCCCCAAACTTGGGTCTCCAGCTGTTTTTGGACTACGATTCCCATCATCTCTTACCACTAGCCCTGTTAGCTAGGGACGATGGGAGTTGTACTTCAAAAACAGCTGGGGAACTAGACTCTGGTCAACCCTGGACTAAATGGATGACTGAGTGGGAGATTCAGATGGCCTCCCGTCAAAGGGCATTCCTGCCAGGTCAGTGGCATGACAGAGCAGCCAAAAAGGGGCTGATAAGAGTATGGGGTTGGATGTGTTTTTTTTGCTTTGTTTCTTTGCTGTGCATTTGTGCAGATAAAAAGAAGAAAGGGAAAGACAGAGAGAGCCTTAGTCTCTGGGGCTGTCAATCCGGTATGAAAATTCACAGTCAGGGGGGAAGCATTCCCTTATTTTACTCAAAAAAAAAAAAAAAAAAGGCACATGAAAACGAACTGGTAATAACAAGAGAAGGATGGGAAAACACCCAAAGGGGGTGGGGGTCGCAGCAAGGCTGCTTTGTTCCCCCTCTGATGGGGCTTTAATACCAGCGTGTGGAGCACTGTCCAATTTGGAAGAGAAGGACCATGACCAATCGGTGTTAAATGTGGCAATAATGTGTCATGCGGCGGCCACAGGATAAAAGGCAGCGACAGCCTGAACTGTAACAGATTTCATTCTCTTGCTAATGAGTGAGACGGCACAGTGGCAATGAAATCGAAGGGAAATGCCATGAGATTCTAATTTCTCTTCCCGCTGTTGCTGCCTCTTCTTTGATCTAAAGCGAGTGCCTGTTTTAAATTGCAAACGGATACAAGGAAGATACCATCCAGCCAGCGGCTTACGGGCTTAATGAAGTGGGGCATACGCTCGAGTCAGATAATATTCTGAGAGGCAGGAATTCAGAAGCAGGATTACGGAAGGACTCGGGGAATAAGGTGTGCGTTTTGACACAGAGGCAAAGGCGAGGACTGAGAAGGGTAGTTCTTATCGGAGGCCACGCTTGCAAGGTGATGACCAGGGATGCAAGGGAAAGGGTGGTTTCCGGAGGTCCTATTTCTTAAACAGTAATCCTGATTTGATTGCAGGGAGACAAGACGATTGACTGTTTAAGGAGCATTCATCCTAATTTGTTTGTGGTGAGGTTGGGTGAAAGTGCTGGCCTGGATAATCCAGGGAATTCCCCATCAGTTTCATTACCAAACAACAAGCAACAAGCAAACAAACAAACAAAACCCTGATCTTTTGAGGAAGCCGCTGTGCAAGACACGCCCCACCCCATCAGCTAGAATTGGGGCAACCCGATTTCCCACCCCAAATTTAAAACCATCTGGAAGCACCTTGTTCACTGGGAGAAACATCTCCTGTGAAGATGAAGGGGAGCGATGTACAGTGGTACCTCGGGTTACATACGCTTCAGGTTACAGACTCCACTAACACAGAAATAGTACCTCGGGTTAAGAACTTTGCTTCAGGATGAGAACAGAAATTTTGTTCCGGCGGCGCGGCAGCAGCGGGAGGCCCCATTAGCTAAAGTGATGCTTCAGGTTAAGAACAGTTTCAGGTTAAGAATGGACCTCCGGAACGAATTAAGTACTTAACCCGAGGTACCACTGTATATACTCTTATCTGCAACCTGAGATGCTTTTGGGGTGAGGAGAAGTTCTGCCCACTGATACTTCTGGAGGGGTTAGATGTGCTGATGCTCAGCCCCTGACAGGGGGCACTATTTTGGGGTAGGATTCAATCATATCCTGATACATTCAGGCTATGCAATTGAAGCTGCTTTGGAGCTCTTGTGAAACAAACCCACCGGCCCCAAATATCAGACTTTTTTGGAATAAGGAAGCGACTTGGATGCTCTAATGGGGATCAGGAAGGAATTTCCGAACTTGTAGTAGGAACTGGGGAGAATCTGCAATGGAAGTGGGAACCCCAGCCCTTCCAGGGCACAGAGGTTCTCTCTTGCCAATGATTCTCTGACTTTTTAAAGCTGGGGTTCCAGAACTTGAAAGTAAACCTAGCTGAGGTACAAATGGATCCTAGAGGACATTGACTGACGAGAATTAGAAAGCACAGGCTGGGCAGGTTCAATACATTTTGCTACCTGAGGCAAAGAACAAGACAGCTCTGGGCTGGCAGCTGACTCTTACTTCACCACTGCCATGACAGGGCACACCATCACACACAAGGGCAACTCATTAGTCTAAGGGATCTAGGACAGACATACAGAGCCGTGCAATCAGCTGGTTGTTGGGACTTGCTCAGCTCTCTGGGTGGCACTATGCAGTTTTCAGGTGATCTACAGAGTGATGTAAATGCCAACAATCAGCTGATTGTCAGGGGTTGCATAGCTCTGTGCATGGCGCTTTGCAAGCCCAAACCAGCTGACTATAACCTTAGGTACTTGACAGGTAGGTGGTTCTGCTCACCTCCCAACTTGAGCCATGGGAGAGATGAGGATCCAACCTGCTGACCAGATTTGGTTCCTCATTCCTTGTCTAAACTGATTGGCAGAAGGCAAGAGTCTCTCCCAGCTCTACCTGATGAAGCTGGGGATTGTCTACTGATCTTTGTCTTTGGGTTGGCAATTGGAGGCCAGTTGGTGCTTTTCAGGGTTGCCAAGCTTGGCCATGAGGCCTCCAATTTCTAATTCTTAGGTTAGAACTTCCTACTGTACAGAGTGTCAAACATTATTTATTTTTTTTGGTGGGGGAGGAGTCCCTCTTAGCACAGCAAATTATATCAACATATTTAAGGATATCCATAAAGCTCACTGAAGTAAATGCAGACGTAAGCGCAGGTTTAAAATTAACCAAGTGTTCACACTTCATTTTTTTAAAAAAGAAGAAAAGACCTACATTTGCCTGAGTTACTTGATCACTGGCCGACTTGCTCCTTGGATCATGGCAATGATAATTTCTCCTTTGCAACAAATGCATTAGGCTAGGATATTTCAATCAGAGAGCACCAAACGGTAATAGACTCTTCTCATTAATGGCCAGTGTAGTTGCTGGGAATACTCAGATGGCTGGGTAGTTTATTGTTGTGTTAATTAACTCTTACTCTATTTACATGCAGATTTAAATTTACATGGGGTATTTATTTTGCAGATGAATGCAGTGGTGATTATCAGATAATTAACTGGAGAATTGATAGCGTTAAGAGGAGACAAGGTTCCATCCTAAAGGGTCCCTCTTGCTTCCATCTCTTTATGGCCCACCAACATTTTAAAGATGGAATCAGTTCTTAATATCAAGCCTCCTAATTGCTTTTACTAGGTCTCTGCGCCTGTGAATAATTGCTTTTCTTGGATCTGCTTATGTCTGCTTTATGTTGGATTTATTTATTTTTTATGATTCTCTCTTGGACTGTTTCTACTCGGCTGAAATATTTGCATGGATTATTAGGTTGGAGTCAGAGTTGTTTACCTCTTTGAGTTGTTGTATCAGGGCTGGAGGGTCAAGTCATTTTGCTTTAAATAGCTGTACTTATGAAGCAAAATGTCAGAATCATAGAGCTGGGAGAAGGCAAATGGATCACCCTTGGATGCATTCTGCACAAGGCGCTAGGAAGAAAAGCGCAAGCACACCTATTCAACACATCTGACATCCTGACAGACAATGGCCTCTAGGTCATTCATGATGGGTGAAGATATTAGTATGGCTTTTAGTGGCTACCCTGGATAGATACAACTGAATGTTGGCTAAGCAGTGGGGGGCACACACTGGCCAATTTTATGCAACTGCAGACAAGGGGGTAAAACTGTTCCTAACTGATACCGCTTCAGACCACATAGGAGGAGCCACATGGGTAAAATTCCCAGAAAGTGGGGTCATCGCATGTGTGAAACTGACATTTGCGGAGTAAGAGATGCTAGAACTCATTTCAATGATACCTGGTAAGCAAAAGGAGCATGTGACATGGAAGAGTGTTCAACGATCATCCTCAACAATGTGCGCACACACTTCAGTCAAAAGTGGATACAATCCAGGAACAGTTTTATCACCTCACCCCTGCTGTTTGCCTGAACTAGACCTCAGACGCTCTGTTTTCTAAATGGTGTGTGGTAAAATTCTAATCATCACATCAGCAGAAACTGTACATGTGGGTGGATTTCTGAAGTAAGAAGCTGCAATTTGGTGCAATCATATGTATTCACCCAAGGTCTGGACATGAAAGACACACTCTTGGCAGAGAACTCCTATATTTCTAGGGATTTTTCCCCACACCTTCCACATTATTGCTAACGAATTGGATTTAGGATGCATTTTCATGAGAGATTCCTGTACTCCAGATCCCACCCCTTCCTGAAAAACAGGATCTCCTTTTTGAACCTGGTGCCTCTCAAGAAACCTTGAATGAAAAGAATCCACATCTTGGAGAACACTTTAGACCAGAATTTGACAACATATTTACACTCCCACCACAAATGGAAAGGAGAGACCCACTCTCCACACCCACATAAAGGAGATAAGGTAGGATTGATGTGATGAGGCTTTTCTGTCTGGCATCCAGTGTGCCAACTAATTCAGTGCCAGCCATTTCTGAAAGGACTTTCAAATAGCCCCACACTGCTCTTTTGCCCTCCAGTTTTCAACTGGCCCATGGGGGCCTGTGGCTCCCCACCACAACTCGAACCATTAACTTGGAATTCTTGGGAAGGGGGTGCTTTATGGTGTGTATGCAGCCTAACATTCGTACCTGTTGCTCTGCCCATTCAGGCCACTAGCCACCTCAACTTTTGCCTGTGGCTCTGGCATAT